AAGTTTGTAATTCTATTAAAAAGCATCAAGAAACATAGCTTGCATGTCTGTATCATCAAAAATATTTTCAAGTGCATTAATGCTGAATACAAAATATGTAAGATTTGCTATTTAAGCTTATGCGCTAAAAGGAATCTTAGCAATTGTGAGGTCTAACTTCGTGATTTTACATTTCTATTTCATTTTCTCTGAGCAACATATTTTCTTTGCTTTGTGATTACGTTAAAAGAAAAGATTTTGGGGGCAGCACCTGTGGTTCAAAGGAGTAGGGCACCAGCCCTATATACCGGAGGAGGCAGTTCAAACCCAACCCTGGCCAAAAACTGCAAAAAAAAAAAAAGATTTTTTTTTTTTCCAGAAACAAAAAATAGATGATAATTTTTTTAAAGAAAAGAAAATTAAGAAAAAATGGATTAAATGGTATTGGGCAATATAGAAAAAGAGGATTATGGTGAATAAATCATTTGTAATAGAAGGAAGGTACATGGGTTTACCAATTTGCCACGGTACCTTTTGCTTTTCTGAGCATTTTATGAGAAGACCAGTTTTATCCAGCACAGAGTCAAGTAAGAGTAAAGCTGCAATAATTTGCAAAGTCAAGAGATGGATGTGACCACAAGGCTCTCGATGCTGGTTGCGCATGGTCTGTTAAGCTGGATATGCTCTAACAGAGATTAGAATTCACCAGAAGCAACAAGCAGGAAGTAGGGGCAAAACTGTTACGAGGCCTGTTGGAGGGGAGATAGAGGCTATTGCTTTCATTTACCATTATTATCCTTTCTCTCAAGTGCGTGTATGGGAGACAGTGAATGTGTATGACAACTAGTCAAGATGGAATAATCAAATCTCTTAGCTGGAAGGGACTTTAGATGTTATATCACTACAAGATATCTGGCCTCCAACATCCTCAATAAGGAATCATAGACTGACAGATGACTATTTTGTGCAGTAGTCTATTCATTTTTGTAAATACCAGCCATTGTTCCTGATATCCAGAGTCTCAACCTGAAAATAAGTTTTTTTTCTCTCCCTATCTATCTTTCACAACCACAAAAACAAAAAATTCCCCTTCCAGGCATTGTTTCATTTGTTAATGACATAACCAAAAACTCAAAATTCAAAACTTTGCATTTTCTTGTATCTAAAAATGGAATGGATTATCAAGTCTTGCTGCTGCATTTTGGAATCCATAGCATCCATTCCCACCCACTTTTATTTTCAACATTCCATCGCTCCTTCACCACACAGACCAATACTGATAGAAAATGGAGGCGGATGATGCAAGGGTATGAACATCAGGAGGATACATTGGGGTAACAGAAAAGATGACTGCTGACAATGCTATAATCTCTGAGGAAGGCGATGTCTTTCTCAGTAGGTCTAACAGAACAAGTCCTACAGATAACCCTGATTACCTCTTTAAATCATGTGCACGACCCTGAAGCAAAAATTATGGCCAGAGAAATGGACCCCTGAGTTGAGCAGACCTCGGGCCGTGTGCCCTACATGTGGCTGTTGAGGGAGAATGGTGTCCTATTCACCTGTACTACTCCACCAGAAAAGAGGATGCTGAACAGAAAAACTATGTATGTCCCCTATTCTACCTTACAATTCAACAGCCTTATTAATCTTCTAAATAATCTGCATATTACACTGTCTGTCTTTTCAAATGGCACGTAGTTCACAAACTGATTTTCCTAAAACTCAACCTGGGTCATCCCTTTTCTTTTCTTACAAGGTAAATCCTTAGACCTTACCCTAGCACTCACACTCTCCCATAACCTAATCACAAATTCATTTTCTAATCAATCTATAATTTTTCATCTCCCTGAAAAGCTATTTTACACACTCTCTTCCCCAAATGGCTTTGGACTCCGTAGGCTTGTTCACACTGTTCACATTCTTTATTTACCAAGAATACCTTTTTCTCTCTTCTTCCTTTATTCAATGTTACCAATTCTTGAAGTTCAGCTCACAGTTTCTGTCCATATAGATTCTGTAGTCATCCTACCTTGAAGGAAGTCCTTTCTCTTACCTTCTCTCTCATAATATTTTCATCGTATTATTCTCTAACAATTTATTTTTCTATCATGAATTTATATGTCTATCTCTATCATGAATTTGTATTTTTATTATAAATTCAAACATCAATAAATAACATATTATCTAGCCATCCACATTGCAAACATCTTAAAGGCAAGAACTATGGCTTATATTTCTTTTCATCTCATGACAGGCTTAGCTTGCAATTAATAAACACTTGTTTATATGTCTGGACAATTATAAATAGTGACTACAGATATGAGTGTTATGTGTAATAGCACTTTTTTGTTTTTGACACAGAGTCTCAAGCTGTTGCTTGAGAGATGCAGTGCTGTGGCATCACAGCTTATAGCAACCTCCAACTCTTGGGCTGAAGAGATCCTCTTGCCTCAGTCTTTCTATGTTTAGTAGAGACAGTGTCTGGCTTTTGCTCAGGCTGGTCTTGAACTCACAAGCTCAAGCTATCCACCTGCCTCAGCCTCCCAGAGTGCTAGGATTACAGGCGTAAGCCACCATACCTGGCCTGTATAATGACACTTTAAGAAAAAATATCTCTTCAACATACTAGCTTCAACCAAAGCCCACACCAGAGAAGAGCTATTTAGTAACTACAAAGTTACTCCAATTCTAAAAAGATTTCTACTTTTCACTACATATCTGCAAAAACTGAACTGTGACTTTCCAAAATGAATGGGATCACTTAAGCAATAATCTAGATGGTTTTAGCCACCAGTTATATATATGCTCCACTCCAAGCAAGCTATCTACAATAATTAGACTTACTACAGACTGCTATTTTGTTTTAAAGGTGCCTGTTCAAAGCATAGTCAATGCAAATTGCTTCTAGGAAACCATTTCTGAGATAATTTGGCTGTCAACATCTTTGGCCAGAATTCCTTGAGTTTTGGCTGCCAATCTCTATTTTGCTTTTCTGGTAGAAATGTGTACCCATAGTATCCTGCCTGCAAGGATGCCTTGCCAAAGGGAAATTAATACAGCTTTTCTTCATGAAAGAACAAGAGTGCCCTCAAGCAGACCATTGGCATGTACCCTTAATGAAATGAATCCACCTATCATTACATCCTTACCAAATACCTAAGATACTGTTCCAGCTATTGAGGACAAACACTGTGCTGGGTATTGTGGATATACAAAATGATCCAGAGGTTAATCTGGAATGAATGGCAATACAAAATAGTACACATGTTCTAAGTGAATAATAAGGAGAATAGGTATCATAAATAATTACAGAAGATAGAGTTTTGTGTGAACTGGGAGGACTTGGGAGAGGTTTCAAAAGGAAAGGTATCTAACCAGTATATCACTTAGTAGAGAGGAACCATTCAGGAAAGTCCCATATAGGGGTGGGGAGCCTGCAGTTTTAAGGCCATATGTGGCCCACTAGGTCTTTGTGTATGGCCTTTTGACTGAATCCAAATTTTACAGAACAAATCCTTTTATTAAGAGGGATAAAGCAGAGAAAGATGATGCTTTTCTTGCCTCCTTTGGTGCTTGAAAGAGAATAGTGTGGAAGTCAGAAGGCTGCAGCAAGGTAATTTAGAAATACATTAGAAAGGTTTTAATATTCCGCATGGTATACTACAAACAATGGAGATTTGTGAGTTTTCAAGCATCCACAAAATAGTGTTTTAATATCAAACTGAGAAATAATTGTCAGTTTTAAAAAATATTTCTTTAAAAAAAGAATAATTAAATCACTAAAATAATTTTGGAAAAAGAGAATGATGATTGAAAACAATCTTTTAAATAGAAATCACACATACCTTGGAAAGGAATCAATAAGGCCCAAAGTCAAGATTAGGAATAAGAAATAAAGAATTCAAACACTATAAAAGCTACACCATGAAAAGTAATATTTTTATGATTGAAATAACTCAACACTTTTATCATATTCAGTGCTTTTTCCTAATTGTAAAAATAATTCAGATCCAACAATGCCACTTCTGAGTATTTATCCAAAAGATCTGAAATTAGTACATGAAAAAGATGTCTGCACTCCCATGTTCATTGCAGCAGTATACAATAGCCAAGAAAGAGAATCAATCTAAATGTTCACTCATGGATGAATGAATTGATAATAGTGGAATATTATTCAGCCATAAAAAGGAGGAAATCCTGCCATGTGACAAAATGGATAAATCTGGAAGATATTATGCTGAGTCAAATAAGCCAGGCACAGAAAAGCAAAGAAGGTATGTTCTCAGTCATATGTGGGGTCTTAAAAAGTTGGACTCAGAGAAGCAGAGTAGAATGGTTACCAGAGGACAGGGGGACGAACGAATGGAGAGGTAATGATCAAAAAGAAGAAAACCTCAATTGGACAAGAGCAGTAAGTTATTTTTCCTGGAGATATAGTGCACACCATGGTGAATACAATAAATAATATTGTATACATTTCAAAATTGCTGAGAGTAAATTTCCAGTGTTCATACCACAAAAAATGGTAAGTATTTGAAGAGATGCCATGTTATCAGCTTGGTTTAATTATTCCCCATTATCTTCACAAATCATAACATCACTTTGTACCCCATAAATATATACGACTATGATTCTCAGTTTATAATTAAAAATAAAAATTACATAAAGACATAAAAATAAAGTATTCCACATTCCTTGCTTAGAAAGCACCCCTAGAAATCTTAACTATGTAAAATACAATAGGAAACTCAGTAAGAAGAAAAAATATAATTAAGGTTTTAAAAGCTGTTGTAATACTAAAAAGATATCAAAAGTCTTTACACTAATATTTCATTTTTAGTTGAAATATCACTAAGAATCTATTGACAGATAATTTTAACATGGCTATATCAAACTTTTAACTAGTTTACAAGTTTACGAGTGTTTAGATACAATTTAGAAGAAAACCTCTAGGTGCAAATACATTGATAGCATTAAAAAGTTAAAGTTGAGAGTAGATACAAAAAAATCATGAAAAAGTGTTCACTTCAGCAGCACATATACTAAAATTGGAATGATACAGAGAAGATTAGGATGGCCCTTGCCCAAAGATGACATACAGGTTTGTGAAGCACTCCATGTTCAAAAAAAAGATAAAGAAAAAAGAAATTTTTTTTAAATCATGAAAAAAATTACACTCATTGGTTGGAGGAATCCTTTTAAGTATATAAGCAAACAACTATTTGCATCTTAACTGTAATTATAACAAAGTAATTTACATTTTAATGACTGCGTCAAGAAGAAAACATAAAATCACATAGCACTTCATCTACTTAAGAAGGCCCTGAAGAGATTACTATCAAGAATAATTTTCTAAAATTTTTGGACATAAAAGAAAAATTTTCAATTATCTAAATTATTCCATAATTATTCTAAATAAATGATAAACTGTGAGATCATTGTAAGAAATTTAAACATAATGTAGTTTTCCTTTTTAATTGCTAGATTCAGTTTGTTAACTTTTTTAACTTTTGCACTGATGTTCAAAAAACTTGTGCCCTTTTTGCCTAAGCTTGATTTCAAGACTACGCTAGCCCTCTCTAAATGAGCTGAGGGATATAGGTATTCTCTATCATTTTGTTTGCTGAAAGAGTTTGTTTTTATTGGATTTATCTCTTCTTAAATGTTTAGGTAACTCACCAGTAGAGCCTCCAGGCCTGATTTTGTATGTTATTTTTCTTTGTACTTTAGGGAAATTTTTTAATTAAAGATTTAGTTTATTTACTGGTTGTGAGATTATAAAGGTTTGTTTTTCTTGAGTCAGCTTCAGTAACTTATGGTTTTCTTTCATCTATTTATCCAAGTTTTAAAATTTATTTATAAAATGTTAGTCATAATAGTCTTTCATTACTTATTTAATCTTTAGAATTTCTATAGTTATAGTCACTCTTTCATTCCAAGAAATTGTTAACTCTTTTCTTGATTAAACTCATTGAAGTTTTGACTATTTTACTAGTCTTCAACTAATGAATTCTGGCTTTGTTAATCCTCTCTATAATGAGTTTCGTATTTCATTCAAGTCTGCTTTTATGGGTTATTTTACATTTTCCACTTTCTTTGGGTCTATTCTAACTGTTGCTTTTGGTTTTTAACATAAGAGTTGGATGGTTAGGTTATTAATTTTCAATCTTCTTTTCTAATTAAGCTTATATGGCTTAAATGTCATCCACAAATTTTTATTATTCTCAATATTATTCAGTTCTAGATATTTTCTAATTTTAAACTTGCATTTGTTTCAATCTAGTCTGAGAATTCTGTGTTTTAACTGGAGAGTTTATTCCATTCATATTTATGGCTATTACTGGTACATTTAGATTACTTCTAATCTTCTTATTGTGTGTTTTTTATTTGTCCCTTTTTTCATGCCTTTTCCTCTTTCCCCAAATTTCCTTTCTCCCTTGTCCTCCATTTCAGGAGATGACTTTGCTTTCACAGAGAAAATATCAGTGGGAAGAGAACTTCCACAAGTTTGCCATGACATCTGGCCATTCCACTGCATCTAGATCATCTCTAAGACCTTTTCTTCTACAAAGAATAAACTGTTCATTCTCCTAGCTGAGCCTAGCCTCTCCATTTATGCATGAAATCTCATCCCTTCTTGCCCACCCAGTGTGGTTCCAACAATTCTCCAGTCTATTCTGCAACATCTATCTTTTGCTCTCTACTGGATCTTTCCCATAAGAATAAGAGGTTAGACAATTAAGTTCACCAATTCATCCTAGAAAAAGTGCTACATAACTCATTGTTGATTACAGCCATCTTCTAAGGACTCCCGTGGCCATCGTGTATATATAGCATTTTTCCATCATAAAATATCCCCTTCTCTGGACTGGCCCTTCTCCTTCACCTACCACCCCATTTCTATTCTTCACTTTACAGCAAAACTTTTAAGAGTTGCCTACATCCTGGTCTCTAGTTTCTGTTCTCCCATTCTCTAAATCATTTTCATCAGGTAAATTACCAGTGATCAACCTCCCTCAATCTTGACATTTTAAATCTTGTTCTGGTCTCTCATCCTATCTGCTCACTCAAAAACATTCAGTAGTCCCAGCTACTTGGGAGACTGAAGAAGGAGGAGGGCTATCTCATCTTTAAAAAATATATAAAAAGCACTTGACATGGTTGATTACTCTCCTTTTCTGAAAATTCTCTTTTCACTGGGCTTCTAGGGCATTCAATTTTTCTCTCCTCATGAGTGGCATCCTCTTAGTGTCTTTTTTCTTTATTCCTTATTTTTCACATCACCAGATATTGGTTTGCTCCAAATCTTAATCCTTAGAGTTACTCTCTTTTCTAACTACTCTCAGGCCATTGGTGACATCATGGTTTGAATATTTTATATGCCAAGAACTCTAAATTAATATCTTTAGAGCAGACCTCTCCCCTGAACCCCAGATTCAAATATCCAACTCCCCACTTTCCATCTCTAACATAACATTTCTCAGTCTGATCTCCTGATCTGTTCTCTATCCTAATCGGGTTTGATGCAATTTCTACCTTCTCAGTGAATGGCAGTTCATCTTGCTGATCAGCCTTGAAACTGTAGCATTATCCTGATGCCTTTCTTTTTTGAGACATCACATCCAGTCTACCATCAAGTTCTGTTGGTTCTATCTTTAGAATATATTGACAATCCTACATTTCCCCTAACTCCACACCTACAACCACTATCTTTCACTTGGATTAATAAAATAGCCCTCTAATTTCCCTGCTTCTATCCTTATGTGCCTTCAGTCTATTTTCAACACTGTAGTCATAGTTAGTCTGTTAAAATGTAAATCAGATCCTACCACACCTACTTAAAATCCCCCAAGAGGTCTCATCTCATTCTGCATTAAAAACTAAATTCCTTGCATTAGCTTGCAGGGCTTTAAACAATCTCAGCCCACTTGCATCCCCAAGTGCCGCGCTCTATTTTAAGTTTTCTGATCTCACCTCTCTCTGTTTGGTCCCGTTCAATCCGCTTTAGCCACACAGGCAGCTGTCTGTCTTTAGGGTCTTTCCACTAGAGTTAACCCCTGCTCTAAGACACTCTTCCCTAGCTGTCTGCATGGCTCACTGGCTCATCTCTCACTTTCTACTAAAAAGTCATCTCAGAGGCCTTCTCTGGCCACACTGTCTATTTCCCTTTCTTACTTTATTTTTCATATGGCATTTGTATCATCATCAAACACACTTTATATTTTTGTTTATGTCATTTATCTATTGTCTGTCTTTCTTCAGTAGAATTAAGGCCTTGTCTTTGGCACTTTGGTGTGAATTAGAAAAAAGACTCAGGAATGTGCTTGTTTGCCTGTACATGCCTCCACACACACACGCCCACCCTACCCCATGCATAGGGTTTGGTTAGTAACTATAGTTGTGCAAAGAAAAAGGCATGGACAGGGGCTGCATCTCCATTCCTCCGTACCAGAGGAATTTTACCCACCTCCAGACCCATCCTCATTCAACTTCTCACCTGCTGCCTTGGGAAGTACATTATCACACATATGGGTGACAGCCCTAAGTAGAAAGCATGCTTTAGGAAGGACGTACATTTTTTGTTTACTTGCTTGTTGTAAGTAGGCCCAGGCCCTTAGAAAGTAGCACACAAAGAAAACCCAATAAATATTTATAGGCCAAATTAATAGCTTGGAAAAATGCAAAAAGCAGGAGTTATTAATTGTTGTTTTTAAAAAAAAAAAAAGATTCCCTTAACTAAATGACATGTCCTGAAAAAGATGGCCTTAATGATGTTCATAAAATGGGTAAATTTACTGCTATGAAATAATTTAGGAACTAAGATAATAAGACTCAGTACACATACAGAATATTGAAAAGTCTGGGAATTACTTTTATATAATTGCATAATAAAAATAAGAACAAGAGAAACGTTCTTGGCATTTTTGTCAATGTGTTACTTCTTCCTTTTTGCTTTGTCTAAGATAATTGCACATTTTAAAGGGGTCCTTTGAATGGTAAACTCTTTGATAATTTACTATTGGGGGGAAATGATTGTTCAAAATTAATACACATTTTTTTCTTAATAAAATAAGACTATGAAAAGTCTATAGACATTACCTTTCCCAATGTCTCTTTTATTTAATTAACAGTTGTATTTTCTCTTTATTGAAATGTTCAATTCTTTCGTCTATTTTATTTTATTTTTTGAGACACAGTTTCACTCAGTCACCTTGGGTAGAGTGCCACAGCATGACAACTCACAGCAACTTCAAACTCTTGGGCTCAAATGATCCTCTTGCCTCAGCCTGCAGAATAGCTGGGGCCACAGGCGCCAGCCACAATGCCCAGCTAGTTTTAGAGACAGGGTCTTGCTTTTGCTCAGGCTGGTCTCACACTTGTGAGCTCAGGCAATCCACCAGCCTTCAACCTCCCAGAGGGCTGGGATTACAGGTGTGAGCCATCACGCCTGGCCTTTTGCTCATTTATTGAAACCTAAACTTTTAATCCTCTTCTGAATTCCTCTGAACTACTTTGAATACTTAAGACATTAATATTTTGCTAAAATTACAGCAAACATTTTCCCTTGGTTTATGTTTTCTAAAAAACACATAGAATTTTACATTTTTATTTAGTCAAAATTATAAATTTTTATCTTTGAGATTGCTATGTATTCAAGCTTATGTAGTCCTTCCCCACTAGAAACATTACAAATATTCATTTCTGTTTTTCTAATTTTCTTTCTCATGTCACTTTTAAATTTTAACACTATGACCTAAATAGAACTAGGTATATTATAAAGCACTTTTTTATTTGTAAGTACTGGGATCAATTCTTACAACATTTGTTTTTTCACAGAGAGTTGGATTGTTACAGTCATAAAATTTCAACATTTTAAAGGACATTTCAACTTTACTTAAATGTATTTTAAAAATGAATTAACTGAGCTAAAAATACTTCGAAAGATTAAAAAATAGAGATTAAAATAAACTCCTCTTTTAATATATCTTCCATTACTAATCCTCTTTGATCCTTTCACAGTCATGAAGGTCAAACATTTATGTTTATAGAAACAGCAGTTGGATGTGTTTCTTAAAGCCAGTTTCTTTTTATCAGATATCAGGATTTGTAATATCAGAGACAACT